GTAGGTAGGTAGGAGGTGGGTAGGTAGGTGGTAGTAGATAGGTAGGTAGGTAAGGTAGGTAGGTAGGTAGGTAGGTACTTTATTGATCCCTATTTGGGACATGTTTGCGTTGCAGCAGCATAAAACACAAGGCAATGACATAAAATTAAGACACAAGAAAAATAAACAGTCCAAAATAGAAATAAAATAGCATTAAAAAGTTGAAAAGTAAAAGATTGGGAAATACAAATATATAATATTACTTATCGGTGCCATCCTCGTCCTCAATGCAGGAGCTTTTCTTAATGAGACTAAGGGAACTGTTTTCCTTTTGTGTCAGGCAGCAAAAAAGCCTGATCATCATGTGTGTGAGTTAATTGGACTTATTGGAGATTGCATGTACGTTCACATTGAAATACGAATGCTAAGACGATATGTTTTGCAGCCATAGGTGTTGCTGTTTTTGGAAAAATATGTTTGTGGTGAATATTGTATGTGTTATTATTAGTTAAAGAGGCCCTATTATGCTTTTTGGGGGGGTTTTCCCTTTGCTGTAGTGTGTTATTTAGGGTTGTGTGCATGTTAATGATCTGCAAAGGAAGACACTTTTGAACATTAAAGCATGTCGAAATGTCACAGTAGAGCCACTAAATACTAATATACACGTGAAAATGAACATGATGATGTTAATCAATATTTAAACCCATCATAATTGATTATTTGCTGCTTAATGGGGGTTAACAGAACAATAAAACAGCAAAAAATGTTCCATTGCTTAAAAAATAACCTTATTGTATGTATGGTTTTTATTTTAGCCCAAGATGTTTACAAGTAGAGGCTCTGATAGATGTGATGTTGGTATTAGAAGTAGCCACAAATGTTTTTAGCTTAAGGCCGTCTACTTCCTCTCCTCGTTTGTTAGGACGGGACTCCGTTGAGCTCGAGCTTCACCCCTCTGGACATCAAACTCACCAACTGGGACGAGCTGCCCGAGGCTTTCAGCCGGCGCCGCGAAAATCGAATCCAGGTCTGCCCTCCCCGCCAGGCTGTGTGTGTGTGTGTGTGTGTGTGTGTGTGTGTGTGTGTGTGTGTGTGTGTGTGTGTGTGTGTGTGTGTGTGTGTGTGTGTGTGTGTGTGTGTGTGTGTGTGTGTGGTGTGTGTGTGTGTGTGTGTGTGTGTGTGTGTGTGTGTTGTGTGTGTGTGTGTGTGTGTGTGTGGTGTGTGTGTGTGTGTGTGTGGTTGTGTGTGTGTGGGTGTGTGTGTGTGTGTGTGTGTGTGTGTGTGTGTGTGGTGTGTGTGTGTGTGTGTGTGTGTGTGTGTGTGTGTGATGTAGCTACTCAATGTGTCATAACTGTGAAAAACACCCTTTTCCACTGAAGCAGGTTTTAAACGTGTCGATATTTCCTTCATTTGATTAGAAAGATACCAACCATATCATTTGACGTAATTTCCAAGAAGAAAATTCTACATATGCTCATTTTTCACTTATTAAAGCCCACAGGCTGCTTTAAAGATGACCTTAATTTTAGACTAAGATCACTCGGTGTGAAGATGAATGAAGACGAGGCTGTACGGAGGTTATTAAACAGAAATCAGAAGTGTGTGTGAATATAATGACACCACTGAATATGAGGAGGAAAAGGTGGAGAGTGGGCGATCTCTTCTTCCTCCACTGCAGGGCCTGAAGGGGTGGGGGGGGGGGGGGGGTGATGGAGAGAGGATGAAAAAAGAGAGAGAGGGGGTTTGTGAGAGCAGCGAAAGAGAAAGTGCCGTTTTATGGCGGTCGTTAAAGGAGACGGATCATCGCCTGAAACGACCCCTGCACGCCGAACGGCTAATATTAAATCCTGCAATCTGCTGATAGACGCCCCACCTGTCCCCTTGTTTATGTCGGTTTGTAAAAACCAAGGCGTCCATCCTCTCCGACCCATCATTTACGCCCTGTTACACTCCAATTGTCCATCAAAATCAATAGCAGGGCCAGCGGTTTAATGCGCAACACGGCGGGGAAGAGGTGTGTAAACTCACACCGCAAGCAAACATCTCGTCAAATAATTTATGGGTGGGAACCATTATACATGATTTAGAAATGATCTATATTGCATGAAAATGGAGCCCTTTAAGGGTTTGAAACATGAATAATACATTTTTGATTATTAATTGTGAGGTTGCAGAGAGTGCATTGTCGTCCTCCTACATGTAAGTCGGTTTTGAACGCCTCTTACAGGATAAATCCGGCATTATTCTGTGTGTGTCTTTCAAGCCTCACTCCACTGTTTGTTGACGTTAATCTTATAAAACAGCTCAGAAGTGAATAGTTTTAAATGGATGAAGGATTTTAATCGTCCAATGTCTGCATAAGGACGGGTGTTTTTGAATTTCTGTTGTGTTTTAATCTGCAGCTTTAATGAGAAGTATGCTCAATTATAGGCCTGTCCTTGACTAAAGGCTGTCAGGTTTCACTTTGTCAACAAATCAATTAGTTTATTTAATTGAAAGATCTGTTAAACTGAGTTCCTCCACGGAGAATCATTCAAACACATCCATAAAAACCTTGTATTTAGCAGCAGATGTGCTCATTCATTTATATAAAATGGCTTTAAAATCACTCAGACTAAAGAAATCTCAAACCCAAACAAATCGACAAAGATGCTACACAATGCAGCTGCAA